AAAAAAAAAAAACACTCACTGTAAGCCTCACAAGGACTTTTATATGGACAAGAAAACATTTTAACCATTTGTTTCATTTTGAAGCATTTAGCTCAGCCAAAAATGAGAAATTATGCTTTTTACACTGTGTGAAAATATGTGTTCAGGAATTGTATCCTATTTAAGGCTCAAATGTTCTCAAAAAAGTGGTAACGGAAATTATACTGACCTTTTTATTGTGAATATAGAAAGATATGAACATAGAATTATATAGAAGATGTGAGTATTATTATTTAGATATTTTCTTACATATTTTTTGTCATTTCTTTTAACCAACTGATCTCAAGCTGATTTTTAGTGGATGCGCTAATAAAGTCTGTCACTCCAGTTCAAACGTCCTAACAGAGTAATCACAGGTTTAAATTACAACATTATTTTTTGAACATAATGCACGTTTGACAACCAAGAAAGTGTTGAAATACTTCTTGTCTTTATTTTTAATATTCATATAGGCCTAGGCTAAGGCCTCTAATGCGCCGCACTGCAAGATTTTTGTTTAAAAATGTATACAACATTCCATTACTGAACGAGTAGCTACCATAGACTGTAGCCTATAAGGTAGCTACATTAAAATGTTGTTGTCTTACCTCGAATCCTTACCTCAAATGTTTTGAGCTATTGGGATGAATAGACTTGCTACATCATATCCGTAAAGGTCTGGTTATTGAGTGAGTGGGTGCTTAGTTTGTAACTGAAATCTTCGGCTAGCGTTTACATTGGTGGTTCAAAACGACAATCCTTCTTAACCACTGACGAACAAACAATTGTAAAAACAAACTCCAAAAAGTCTGCAATCAAGAAGGGGAATGTAGATCCAGTGCCAAGCAGTATCTGAAACACCGAGGCAGATATTAAACTTTATTTCCGATTTGAAGTTCTACCGTCAGACGTGCTGTGCCGAAACACAACTGAGGTTAAAATTCCACGCATCTATGTAAAATGCTATTCCTCAAGTATTTGCAATTTTATGTTTCAACCAGAGATGGCGATAGGTTCTTCTTCTTCTTCTTCTTCTCTCGAGTTTTTTGGCGGATTGGCAAGATGGTGATAGGTTCTGTAACAAGTGGTGCTTTAAAGCAGTGTTTTTTAGTCGCGGCACCCTTTGGAAATTTTAACAAACATTTCGGTGCATCTCTAATTATTGGCGACATCAGAAATGGATATTATATAATAGATGCTTTTTTTGAACATTTTAGCAATTTAAAAATATTAAAAAATGATTTTTTACACGACACCCCTGCTCTCACAGATGGCACCCCGGTTGGGAAACACTGCTTTAAAGATTTAGCCTTTTTTTTTGGCGGTTTTTGCCTTCATTAGGACAAGACAGTAGGCTATTTTAGACAGGAAGCGAAGTGGGAGAGAGAAGGGAAAGGTCCGCAAGCCGACTCGAACTCGGGACACCTGAAGCTCAAAGGCACTATATGTGACCCTGGAGCAAACCAGTCATAAGGGATAATTTTTCAAAATTGAAATTTATACATCATCTGAAAGCTGAATAAGCTTTCCATTGATGTATGGTTTGTTAGGATAAGACAATATTTGGCTGAAATACAACTATTTGAAAATCTGGAATCTGAGGGTGCAAAAAAAATTAATAATCAAAATATTCAGAAAATCGCCTTTAAAGTTGTCCTAATGAAGTTCTTAGCAATGCATATTATTAATCAAAAATTAAGTTTTAATATATTTACAGTAGGAAATTTACAAAATATCTTCATGGAACATGATCTTTACTTAATATCCTAATGATTTTTGGCATATAAGAAAAATCTATAATTTTGACCCATACAATGTATTTTTGGCTATTGCTACAAATATACCCTGTATAAGCCAGCTCTTATACCAAATATAAGAGCTGGCTGTCTGGTGCAGTCTCAACAACCTGGAGCTCAACACACTCAAAACTGTGGAGATGACCGTGGACTTCAGGAGAAACCCCCCTGCACTCCCCCCACTCACCATCATGGACAGCACTGTGACTGCAGTGGAGTCATTCAGGTTCCTGGGCACCACAATCTCTCAGGACCTGAAGTGGGACACTCACATAGACTCCATTGTTAAAAAGGCCCAGCAGAGGTTGTACTTCCTTCGCCAGCTGAGGAAGTTCAACCTGTCACAGGAGCTGCTGAAACAGTTCTACTCCACCACCAAGTATTGAGTACATGTACAGTAAATGAACATACTTTCCAGAAGGCCAACAATTCACTAAAAATGTTTTTTTTATTGGTCTTATGAAGTATTCTAATTTGTTGAGATAGTGAATTGGTGGGTTTTTGTTAAATGTGAGCCAAAATCATCACAATTAAAAGAACCAAAGACTTGAACTACTTCAGTCTGTGTGCATTGAATTTATTTAATACACGAGTTTCACAATTTGAGTTGAATTACTGAAATAAATGAACTTTTCCACGACATTCTAATTTATTGAGATGCACCTGTACAATATATAAAATATATTTAGGCCTATAAATATCAACGTGATATTTTTCTTATCTAATGCAGTGACATTCATGCATTTAAACTTAAGAATACAAAATGTGTGATGATTACTTTAAGAAAAGATGCCTAAGATATTTCACTTAATACCAATTAGTTTTCAGTTAGATCAGTCAATATTGAATCATTTTGGTATTCTCCAATTTCAACTTGTTTTCATAATCATAAATACAAGTGTAGCAGAGTGAGGTATAGACCCAGTATGATTGGCTGGCGTTACCCAAACAGGTGAACCTATCAGTGTTTGTACTTTATCATGATTGGTCAGTTGGGTAAGTTTCATGAGCCAATTAGTGCCTGTGTTGTGCATATAAAAGGGGGAAGTGTTTATTTGCTTGGGATGCATCATCCTTGGTACCGCCGCTTTGCGACATGTGGCACTTTGAATGAGCGCTAGCAGTTGGGTTTTCCTCACGTCTGACGTGTGCTGGCTGTTGGCCAGTTTTCAGGTTTGTCCCTATTTTAAAAATGCTTTTTTGCCTGTTAAATAGAGAGGTTTATTACCTTGTTTGTTTGTAGATATGGGTCTTCAAGTAGGTGTAATTCTGCGTGGCGAGCGACCATGCGTATTGCAGCATTGTACTGTTTTCTTGGTAGGTATTCTGTCTGGAATTCATCTGGGTCCGTCTGTTATATTTTGTGTTTGGTGCGTGGATTTAGGTGGGAGGGGTTGGCCATGGTACCTTGTACTGCGTGTCCACATGGAGTACTGTGTTTAATATTTCAGATTTTTCGAGAAGGGTGTTCTTGCACAACCGGAGGCTGCAGTTTCAGGACCGCAGTTCTAGGACCACACAGGACCGCATTTCTAGGACCCTGGTGGTTTAGTTTGTAGTAATGTTTGTACATTGTTGTTAAAGATATTGAATCTCAGGAACTTTTTTTTTTTTATTATTTCAATTGTGATTTTTTTTTTTTTATTTATAAATGCATCAGCTGTTAATTACAAAGTGTGTAATACCTGCTCTCAGTTAACAATTTTAAATTGCAGTCACTAAATTACAGCCAGATATCTAAAAGTTTGTAGAGAGGCAAGACACAAGACTCAAGAATGATTCAAGAATGTGTATTTATATACTGTATATACTCATTTTTGCAATAACATAATACAATATCATAAAGACCCCCTTTTCCATCAGTTGCTGCATGGACAGAAAGGCTGTAGGCTTCAACTCCTGAGAGAGATAAAAAAGAGAGTGGGGCGGGGGGTCTTAAACAATGGCAAGATGTGAGACCTATAATACATTATAACTATGAGAAATATAATCCATTGTAACTTAAGTGGATGCAATGTGTTCATTGTGTGTTATAAAAAACAGTTAATTTAAGTATACTATTATAACACTACTGAACAGTAAGCCATTATACATTGGTCCATACACGAGTAGCACCAGCATGCAGTTTATACAGTAGATTTTGTAAGTGCAGGAGCAGTTTCAGTCCAGAAGGCAAACCGCTGACCATGCCTTTCAAACATCAACAAGATTAATATAAAGTACTGCCAAAAGGACAGGCTAATAACACATATTGTGGTGCAACCAAGCAATGAGCCCAGTTGAATTATGAAAGGATTTATACTTAACTAATATGCTAAAACAATGAGTATCAAACAAGTTTTCACACTAATACAGTAAGCTACAGGTAAATCTGACACATCTCACATCAACATGCTTTTATCATCTTTTTTAAGTTTAATGTGCTGGCTAGATTTACTTATTGTAGTCACTATGTCAACAAGGTTTAGCTTAATTAAATCATGGCCACGAATTAAGAACATCGCAATAATCAATCCAACTAGCAATCGGGAATTCATTATTATTTCTTAGCAGTTCTCACGTTGGCTACGTAAATTAACTTTGCGTCGTTTTAAGGTTATAAAATAAAACTGAATTGAAAATCGGTAAAGCTACTCACTCTGATTGCTGTCCATGTCGTCCATCTTTAGTGATCCAATTCGGTAGGTGGCGCTGTTACAAAAGAATAGGGTCCTAGAACTGCGGTCCTAGAACTGGTCCTGAAACTGCAGCCTCCGGTTGTGCAGGAACATACTATTGGATACATATTTTTTCACGAGTGTTTGTCATGGGTATTGAGTGTGGGGTAGAAATCTGAGGGTCTTTGCTGGCCACCTCCCTCTTTATATTCTCTTATTGTATTGTACTTGTTTTGTAAGTTACTGGTAAAGACGTGGTGTATTGAGACCTGGTGTGAAGTGCTGTATGTGTTTTTATCACTTGTATGTTAATAAAGTGACTTTTGTTTATCTGTCTATCATTGTGCTCACCCTGCCTTTGGCAACGAACCTGTGTCCCTTTGTTTAGGGCTGTTATGTCCCGGTGTATTCCGGGTGGCGTAGTCGACTATAGGATTTTTTTTATTATTGGTAATTTTTAAGCACCTGACCACTTACTGCCACACAAGGTTTCTTACA